CCTCCAAACTATTCACCAGTTCTGACACCAGCCATCCCTACCACGACATTCTTTACTTTTCTTCTGGGTTTGATAATCTGTTGCAATGGTCACACAGAACTCTCAGACCATACTTACATTGAAGTGGTTCATTAAGGAGGTAACAGTGTACAACTCGGGATCAGGATCAACAAGCTACAACTTGAGATTAGGACCAGGAAGCAAGTAGGAAAAGTCTCCCTTCTTCAGTTCAGGATAGCTCTCTCAGCTTTTCTTGGCTGAGCGGGCCTCCTCTCAGCCCCCCCAGGATAGGCTCCTCACAGCCCCCTCAGGACGGGCTCCTCTCAGCCCTGCCGTTTGTCATCATCGGCTCTGCCACAGAGCCTCTTCCAGGCCTGTCACCACTGGCTCTGCTGCTAGGCCCCTTCAGGACCTGTCGCTATCTTCAGTGTTACAGTCTTTGACCCATGTTACAGCTGTTTTAGGAGGTTCCTTGTTCCTCTTTCTCTCTGGTTTTTCTCTCTTTTCTCTTCCTTCTGCTTCTCTTCCTGCTTCTTTCTGTCTCTAAAACCCTCTGTGGAGTTGGCTGCTTATATACACAGCTCCTTGTTAATTTCAAGGCATGGCTCTTCCCATCAGGGGCCACAAACTGACCAATCTCCTCTTGAAAGGCCACAGACACTTAATTTGCATAGTGGGCTATAGTCTCCTCATTTGCATAGTCTATTGACCAATCCCTGCAAGATGGATACCAATCACAGGACAGGCTGCATGTCAGGACCAGACAAAAAGTATCAAAGCCAAGTTGTTTACAGCCTACACAGGAAATGTCAATCAACCTGGACAAAAGTAACAAAATATTTGGGGTAGAAAACTAGGGTAAAGGTAAATCCTCAGGGCTTAGGGAGAAAAAAATCTCTCAAGCTGTTTTTCCAAAGAACTACGTTAAAAGACTACAGAAAGGAACTCTTTTTACCATAATAAGATCATGCTATTGTGAGACAGTTTTACTTCTTCCTTTTTAATTTTGTATGCCTTTCATTTCTTTTTCTTGCCTAATTGTATGCCTAGAATTTTCAGTAAAATGTTGAATATAAGTGGTGAGAGCAGAAATTCTTGCTTTGTTCCGAATTTTGAGTAAAGCTTTCAGTACCATTAACTGTAAAGTTAGCTGTAGTGTTTCACAGATGCCCCTTATCAGGTTGGAGAACTTCCCTTTTGTTCATTGTTTGTTGAGTGTTTTATCATGAAAGGATATCGGATTTTGTCAAACGTTTTTCACATGAGTTGAGATGATAATGTGGTATTTTCCTTCATTATGTTAATGTGGTGTATTACATTGATTAATTTTCATATGTTGAACCACCTTCCATTTCTGAGATATTTCCCACTTGGTCATGGTGGATAATTCTGTCAATTGCTGTTGAATTCAATTTACTAGTATTTTATATTAAAAATAAATTTTGCTTTCTAGTGTCCTTTTCTTGTGATAACTTTGTTTGGTTTTAGTAATACTGACCTCATATAATTAGTTAGGAATTTCCCTCCTCTTTTATTTTTTGGAAGCGTTTGAGAAGGATTGGTGTTAATTCATCTTTAAATGTTTGGTAGAATTCGCTGATGAAGCCATCTGGCCTTAGACTTTTCTTCTTTGGAAGTTTTTTTTTAAAAAAAAACTTATTACTGGTTAACCTCTGTACTTGTTATAGTTCTATTCAGATTCTTATTTCTTCCTGAGTTAGTTTTGATAGTCTTCACGTTTCTTGGAATTTGTTCATTTCATGTAGGTTATCTAATTTATTGGTATACAATTGTTTATTGTTGTTGTTTTTAGTTGCCATTGAGTCAACTCCAACTCATGGTGACCTTAGGTGTAACAGAACAAAACACTGCTGGGTCCCCTGCCATCTTCAGGATTCTTGGTATGTCAGAGTCCGTTGTTGTGGCTGTTGTGTCAATTCATCTCATTGATGATTTCCCTTGTTTTCGTTGGCCCTCTACTTTACCAAGGATGACGTCCTTTTCCAGAGATTAATCTTTCCTGATGACTTGTCCAACACAAGTGAGTCAAAGCCTCATCATCCTCACTTCTAAGGAGCATTCTGGTTGTATTTTTTCTAAGGCTGATTTGCTTGTTCTTTTGCCATAGGGTATGTTCAATATTCTTTGCCAACACATGATTTTGACAATATTCTTTGTCAAACACATCAGCCCTTCTGTCTTCCGTTTTCACTGTCCAACTTTCACATGCATATGAGGCTGTTGAAAAGGCCATGGCTTGGGTCAGACTCACCTTAGTCATCAAAGTGACATCTTTGCTATTTAAAACTTTCAAAAGGTCTTTTCCACCATCCATCTACCAATTGGTCCCACTGTGGTGGCTGGCGGTGTTGCTATGATGCTGGAAGCCATGCCACTAGTATTTCAAATACCAGCAGAGTCACTCATGGTGGACAGGTTTCAGTGGAGCTTCTAGACTAAGTCAGAATAGGAAGAAGGGCCTGGCTATCTACTTCCAAAAATTGGTCAATGAAAATCTTATGAATCCTTAATCTAGGCCTTGGATAATGTATTTTGGTTTCAGCTTGAAAAAATTTTGAAGGTTTTTTTTTTTTTCCTTTCGGTAGATGATTTCTAATCTTTGTCAAAAATGTCATTTGCTAACATTAGGACAGTAGGAGGAAGAGATAAGCGTTTGATTGCCATTTTGGCAAAGGTTCCTAAAATTAATTCCTCTTCCCTAAGGAACTAGCTCAGAATATGTTACCCACTAAAAAAAAAATTGCATTTCCGTGGTATAAAAACTGAAGGAGCTGAAGAGAAAGGACTATGAGGATTTCTGGACCCTGAGGCCAGACATGGGATTCTTCTGAAATGGTGGGAGAAAGAAATCTGAGTCCCAAGGACCAAAATATGTGGCTCTGGACATATATGAGGGAGCCCTGATGGTGCAGTGGTTAAAGCAATCGACTGTTAACCTAAAGGTTGGTGGTTCAAAATCACCAGTGGCTCCGAGGGAGAAAGATGTGGAAGTCTGCTTCCATAGAGATTTACAGCCTTGGAAACCCTATGAGGTCTCTGTGAGTCGGAATTGACTCAACGGAAGTGGGTTTTTTTTGGACATATATGAGCATGTATGAAAAAAGCTCAGAAGAACTGGCTTTAGGAGATTTCTCATCCAGAGGACCTTTAATCAGCAGCTGTTGTCTTGGTAATTGCATTTGCTTTTCTACCTTAAAAAATTGGTACCATATTCTTAGAGCCCTTATCAAGGCTGTCACACCACGTTCCATATACTATGTCTGTGATATATTCATGAGTCGCATAGAAATGGAAATGGAATAGAGCTGCTGAAACTTCCCCCCTCCCTAACCCAAAACCTAAATTCCTTTTAATAACCAAAGCTGCTTGAGTATACTATCTGGGATAGTTTATTATCTGACAAAGCTCCGGTAGGGTGAGAAGTCCTGGATGGAGTGGATATTGGTATGTTGGAGAACCACAATTTTACTTTTTTAATTTACTTTAGGTTTTTCTCTCCTGGAAACACTTTCATTCTCAGCTCGTTAATTCACACGGCCTTGACTCTGGCTGTACACACTCTGGATTGAAGAAAACCACAACAGAGTTATTTTAAGAACTGATGAGTAGGCTAAGAACCAACTGATGACAAGTCAGGAGTTTATAACCCTCTGTGCTGGGTTATACATGACCTCTTACAAAACAATCTCTTTCTCCTGACCCGTTTGTATGTAAGAACAACATATGACTTATTTATTTGTCAGTATCCTTCTTTGCTGAGGATCATATGTCACATATGTCAGTTTGATAAACAATTTGGATTTCAAGTCTGGCACTTGTTTAGAATATTACTACATATTTACTTCTTAAACAGTAAGCCTTTTTTTTGATAATTCTGTGTTTGTCCGTCTTTCTCCTCTTTTTCCTCTTCTCTTTGTTTCTATCCCCCTTTCTTAGTTTCACTTTTTCTCCTTTTCCTCTTTCTTCTTTCCCTTTTTATTTATCCCTCCTCTCCTCGCCTCTCCACTGCTCTCCTCTCCTTTTCCCTTCCCTTCCCTCCTCTCCTCTCTTCTCGTTTTCTCCTCCTCTCTTCTTCTTCTCTTCCCTCATCCACTGCTTTCCCCTGTCTCCCTCTAATTCTACCCTGTCATATAGGGTCACTATGACTCGGAATCAACTTGATGGGCAATGGGTTTGGGTTTTTTGGTTTAATGTTCCATTATGTGAATGACCAACTTTCACAATCCCAAATATTTAGCTTTTTTAAAATCTTTCCTTTAATAAAACGTTCCCAATGTAAAAAATAAATTAAAAATAGAAAAATGAATGAAATTATAAGAGTAGTAAGGCAAGATATTTGTTTTTAAGGATCTATAGTGTTGCACACAGACAGAAGAGCTTGGCACAATGTGACAGGTGCTATTTACCCTATTTCTGAGATTGGGGGAATGTAGCAGTACTGTCCTTCCCATGTGAGGAAGTGAAAAAGCTCCCAGGCTGACAACGTAAGAAAAAGGATGGCTCATGGAGTAAAGAGTTTAAAAAAAGAATCTCTGTATGTTTTTGAGTCTTTTTGTATGATTTAAATTAGTAGAACAATTTTGGATTTTTTTCTGAAAAACACGCCTGGCCACTTTGAAGAAAATACATGCGTCTTTGGGTATCTATGAATGTGCTACATACGTGGCTATATCATGGGTTGGCCTTTGAAACTTGATGAATAGTATACGTCTTTCCTAATTTGAAAAGTTAGCCATTTTTATTGTAGAAAATTATAAACAAATCAGGAAATTATAAAGAACAAAATAAATACTACCTATAGTGTCATATGTAGAATATCAAAAGTAAAATTTTGATACGGTTTTGTACTTGTATTTGCCTTCTGTGAAGCTAGAAATAAGACGTACCATGGGTAGTTTTATTTATTAAGCAAAAGTGTCGGTATTGAGGATGAGTGTGATTTATTTTCAGGGACATCACCTGTCACCTAAGCTGAAGTGATGAGGAGGATGAATAATGTGACGAAATTCATTCTCCTTGGCCTGATCCAGAATATGGAGCTTCAAAAATTTTCATTTGCTGTGTTTTTAATTGTCTACTTGGTCACCCTGGCAGGCAACCTACTCATCATGATCACCATCAACACCAACAGGTCTTTAGGATCCCCCATGTACTTCTTCCTGTCTTACTTATCCCTTATAGACGGCTGCTGTTCTTCACCCATGACACAAAAAATGCTAGCTGACACTCTTACTGTGTGAAAAATCATCTCTTTCAGGGGGTGTATGACTCAAATCTTTGCTGTGCATTTATTTCGTGCTGCCGAGATCATACTGCTGACAGTGATGGCCTATGACCACTCTGTGGCCATCTGCAAACCCTTGCACTACATGACCATCATAAGCCACGGGCAATGCATTCTCCTGGTGAGAGTAGCCTGGGCCAGAGGCTTTGTCCATGCAGCTATTCAGGTCCTCTTCACAGTCTGGCTGCCCTTCTGTGGCCCCAATGTCATAGACCACTTCATGTGTGACTTGAACCCTTTGTTGAAACTTGTCTGCATGGACACTCATACCCTTGATCTCTTTGTTTTTGCCAACAGTGGATTCATATGCTTGTTAAACTTCCTCCTCTTGATGGTCTCCTGTGTGGTCATCCTGCACTCCCTAAGGGCCCGTAGCTCAGAGGGGAGGCACAAAGCCCTCTCCACCTGTGTCTCTCACATCACAGTGGTCATATTATTCTTTGTGCCCTGCATATTTATGTATCTGTGCCCAGTGACCACTCTGTCCATAGATAAAGCTGTGGCTGTCTTTTATACCATGATCACTCCCACGTTAAACCCCTTAATCTACACCCTTAGAAACACAGAAGTGAAAAATGCTATGAAGAAGCTCTGGGTTCAAAAAGTGACTTCTACTGAGAAATAATCACACCAACATAAAATGACTTTATTCCTTAAATATTGGAGAGAAGAGAAGATAATTTCTATGGATCAAGATCAGGTGAACACTATTTGTCAAAAGTAGTTTGATATTGTGTATAGATACTTTGACAAAAGGCCCAGACAAGACATTATTTATCTCTATAAAAATATCCCATTTAGATTTATTTATTGCCTATGGTAGTTGACCTTTAAAATACTGACAGAATCAGTTAGGTCTTGTTAACAGACAGGTTCCCAGGACCTGGCTTTAGACATTCTAATTCAGTAGAGTGTTGTATTTACATAGCCACATTTTAAACAAATAATCCAGATGTTTCTGAAGCAGGTGAGCTACTGACTCTGAGCAATAGTGCTACAGATTATGTTCACATCCTCAGCCATTAATGGGACCACTTTTTAAGGAATTTCCTGGGAAGCGTCCCTCACAGCAGAAGCTATGAGAACCATGAAACACAAATCTTCATAAATCTGCAGTGAAAGCCCACTACTTTGGCAATTGCAAAACAAAAATAAAATGTCCTGGACAAATAGGAATGCTTTGGTATTTATTCTCAATGTTCTCTTTCTGTACTTCTAATCTTCTGCCACATCAAGTCTGATTTTCTCTTTTTCTTTTCTGCCTCCAAAGGAAAAGTTTTACCATTTATTCTTGCTGCAGTATTTGGATGAAAACTTATTATTATTATCCTAACTACTCATTCACATTGAGAGATTTTTTTTTTTCACAGTTGCACTGTGTGTAGGAGATTTTATGTATCATTTCTTGTGTGTATACTTGGGAGGACTGGGTGATAGTGTCTGGTATGCCATAAGGGTTAATGTCTGAGTAAGACAGCCTTGAGTTCAAATGTTAGTTTTGCTACTTATAGCGTGAACTTTGATAAAACATGACCTCTTTAGGATTATCAGGATAAAATAAAATAAACCATGTAAAGCTCTTAGTAGGCATTAAAAGCTTAATAAATGTTAGTTATTATAAGCATTCTTTATTACTGGAGTATCTGAAATTGTAATAAACCAAAAAATAAAACCAACCAGCAAACAAAAGACTGTTGCCACCCAGTCGATTCCAACTCATAGCAACCCTATAGGACAGAGTGGAACTTGCTCATAGGGTTTCCAAGCAGCAGCTGGTGGATTTGAACTCTGACTTTTGTGTTAGCAGCTGAGCTCTTAACCACTGCACCACCAGGGCTCCAGAAATTATAATAGAAATACTCAATTGGTCCTAAGTGCTATTCTAATGTTCTTTGAGCTTAAGAAGATATGATCCATTTTTATCTCTGTCTCTGCTGCAGAGAATACTCTGAAAGCTGACTGGCCTAGTAGGAGTTCTTGGAGGCTGTAATTGGATCCAGCCTCCTTGGATATTCTTGAATCTCTGTCTCATGGTTTTCTGATATCCATTGTCCTCGTGTCTTCAAGGCCTTGGAGGCGATCCATTTGTGGGTCTGATTTTCTTATGATGAGCTCTGTTTGAAAGGGCAAGGAGTCACTTTACTATGAACCTGAGGTCAACACAGCAGGCAACCAGAATATGAACAGGTTTTAAGGGGAGATATTTGTTCAGAGGAGGTAGTGTGCTGTGGTGGTTAAGAGCAGACTCTGGAGCCCGGTTTTCTTGGTTCAGATGTGACTGGGCAAGTTATTTGACCTTTCTATGATACGTTTTCTTCATCTATACAATGATAATAATAGTTATTACCTCATAAAGTGATTGGTCCAATTAAATAGGTTAATATATATTAAGCACTTATAACAGTGCCTCCAAAAACCCATTGCCATCGAGTTTATTCCAACTCATAGCAACCCTGTAGGAGAGAGCAGAACTGCCCCATAGGGTTTCAAAGGAGTGACTGGTGGTTCAAACTGCTGATCTTTTGGTTAGCAGCCAAGCTCTTAACCACTGTACCACAAGGACTCCATATATGCATAGTAAATCTTATAAAATAATTTTATTAAAAAAAATTTTTAAAAAAAGCCTGTGAGCAGCCATCTAAGATACTCCACTGGTCTCATCCCTTTGGGAGCAAGTGAGAATGAAGAGAACAGGTTACAAGGGAAAGATTAGTCTAAAGGACTAATGGACCACAGCTACCAAGGCCTCCACCAGACTGAGTCCAGTACAGCTAAATGGTGCCCAGCTACCACCACGGACTGCTCTGACCAGGATCACAACAGAGGGTTCTGGACAGAGCTGGAGAAGGATGTAGAACAAAATTCTAACACGCACAAAAAAGACCAGATTTACTGGCCTGACAGAGACTGGAGAAACCCCTCGAGTATGGCCACCAGACACCCTTTTAGCTCAGTGGTGAAGTCACTTCCAAGGTTTACCGTTCAGCCGGGGATTGGAC